CATTAGAAAGTTTCCTTCAATTGCCTTTAGCTGGGTGGTGGTCATGACCTTCTTTGGACACCTTCTGATAAGATCAGGAAAGTACCAACACCAAAATCTTCTAGACTTGGTGAAATGTGGTTCATGATGAATTGCAGCCTCGGAAACTTACATAAACCCTGTCCTTAAAAAGAGTCTAATTCAAAAGATTTCCAGGTTTGGGAACTATAGGGAATAAAGTCACCTGTTTGGAGTATAAAGGGCTCCAAAGGGGCTGCTGTCTGTCTGGGAGAAGGTTTCCTCAGGTCCAGGAGGGAACTAGTTGGCCCAAGTTGTGCAGAAGAACAAGGCCAAGAGCCAGGTCAGACCAACTGGGCAAAGCACCAATGTGTATGGGGTTGTAATCATAATAACAGGGAAGAGGGAAGGCATACACTAGAGAAATGTGGGTGAAGATGAGACCCAGCTCTGACCTAGCAAAAAGTGGGGCCATGATGGAGGGATGGAAACAGGATTTGAGGAAAGAGGTAGGTTGAGAAGCCTATGACCAGGAGATCTAGTCGCTGCCAGTAAAGTATAAAGCACTGGATCTGGCGATAAGGGAAGGTGGTAAATTCCCACAACAGCCAGTGGAAACAGAAAGCCGAGCAGAAAGTTGCAAAGAGAAAATGCGGAGTGCCAGCTACCAGCCCCAGGAGAATGGAGGGCAGAGGAGGAAGAGAAGATTTCCTAGGGGAAAAGCTGGAGGATAAGTTGGAGGCGCTTGATACACTTGCATTTCCACATCAAAACACACATTTTGTATTTAATGTGGATGACTGGAATTGTCCTAAAGAACAAGCAATCACCTGCCCCTGAGAGGCCTGTTCACATACATATCCTCATGTTCAGTTGGACTGATTTATTTAGATCAAGTATGAAGGACACAAATACATTGCTCTGGTTGATATCTTGATTGGTCCCAGACACATATTAAGCTGGAAAGATGTGTTGCCTCTTTTCAAGGCTGCACAGCGGATGTAGGTGGTGATAAGACTGCACAACATGTTTATTGGGCTCTCACTCAGGTGCCGGTCATTCTTCAAACGTTGGATATGCATTAACTCATTTAATCTTCTTATCAACTTTATGAGATAGGTTCTTCTATTTTGATTACTCTCCATTTTTCAGATGGGAAATTTATGGCAAAGAGAAAAATACACGACCATGATTACCCGAGTGTTAAGTAGCAGGGCCAGGACTTGAACCTGGTGAGACTGGGCTCTTAGCCACTGTGCCATTCTATCTACAGCTCACAGAGGCTGCTGCTTCCAGGGGCCAAACCCTGAGGCATCATTCAGTGCCTGTTACAGCTTGTGGAGACCCAATGAATGACACCTTGTTTCCATGCCTGAGTTTTGAACTAGTGGAGGAATAAGACGTAAGTGTTGGGCAGGAGGAGTCCAAGATGCCACATTTATTGTTGATAAATCTGATATTGGCTTCTAAACCCCGGAATTAGATAGAGTTCATCGTTAAGAGCTGGGGTTCTAGAGCCAGATTGCCTGGGTTCAAATCCCAATTCCAAACTTTACTAACTGGGAAGTCTGTAGCAAGTTATTTATCCCTCTGAGACTCAGTTTTCTCATTTGTAAAGTGGGGACAATAATAGTATTTACCTCACAGGGTTGTTGTGAAGATTAAATGAGTTAATATAAGGAAGCACTTAAAATAATTACTATCATATGATGAGTTCTCAATCAAGATCAGTTATCATTACTGTTCTCCAGTAGTGGCAGGTGGCCCAGGACCTCTGCAGGATTCTCTATGAGGACCTGCCTCTGTACAGCTTGCCAGGGGAGGAGCAGGTAGCTTGCTCCCCTGAGGGAAAAGGAAGACAAGGACTGAGCTTCACAGGTCAGGTTCTCTTTACAAATCCATCCAGGGGAGGAGAGGGGCCAGCAGTGTTGTGTGACTGAAGTCCCCACCGCACAGAATGGCACATTTGTTTCCCTCCCACACCTGTCCACAGTGATACTGGGCAAGAGTAATCAGTCTCCCAGAAGCTCTATTCTAGAAACCATTCTTGTCTACCCAGGGGTTTGTCATCAAGAAAATGTGGTTTAACAATTGGGAAGTATTATATGGTTTGTTTGCTTTCTTTTTTCTTTAAATATATTTTATTGATTTCAGAGAGAGATAAAAACATCGATGATGAGAGAGAGTCATTGACAGGCTGCCCCTTGCATGTCCCCTGCTGGGGATCGAGCCTGCAACCCGGGCATGTGTCCTGACCGGGAATCAAACTGAGGTCTCCTGGATCATAGGTCGATGCTTAATGGCTAAGCCATGCTGGCAGGGCTGTTTGCCTTCTGATCCTAGAAATAGGTCATGTAAGAAAAGGGGAGACGAATCAGGTTGTTTTGGCCTGGAGACTCTCTCTAATAGAGAAGGAAAGGCAGTGAGGTCACTCAGGTCAGCAGGTGGGAGGAGAGATTATAGGTGTGCCGGGGACAGGTGACCTGAGTCTATCATTTTGCAGGCGGGAAAGACTGAAAGTGCAGCATGTTATCTTAACTAGAATGATCATTGGCTGAGAATAATTCTCCCTTCATCATCATCATTATCATCATCTGGTTGTAATAAGTAATTCTCGATTGTGGGGAAAAAGATCATACTGGTTTTCAGTGATTCTGTGTGTTAGACAGTAAAAGCAGGAAGGCCTCTCCTAGACATAGTCTCCTTTTCAGACTGCTCAAGCCTGGCAAAGGTGACTACATCTGTGGAGTACAAGGAAAACTTATGACTCCCGAGAGTGCTTTCTGTTTCAGAAAGTTCTGAAGTCATTCCAGTTTTTCAATTTCAACCAACTTGTGTGACTATGAATAAGTCATTTGCCCTTTCTGGACCTTAATCACCTCTCCTGTCTGTATGTGAGGGGCTGGACCACATCTCTGAGATTCATTCCAACTCTGACCATCTCTTATTCTATGTGCTAATTTATGATAATAAACCCAATAGGCAGTGTTCCCTCAATTTTACCCCAGGAAAGGGGGCATTTAAACCCAAAGTGGGCTTTGCTACCTAGACCTTTAGCAACAGTAGAAAATTCAGGACTTTTGTTGGTGGTAGGAGCAAAGTTTGGGACAGACAGGTCTATCGGTGCCCCTCATGTCACACTGATATTGACAGTATAAGTTTTAGGATCGATCTAGTACTTAGAGCATTACAGAACCTTAAAACATTTTTATTACTATGGAAATCTAACTTTTAAGGCTAAAATCCAGCAATGATGTCACTAAGCACAGTATATATACTTTTTTTTTTTTTTGCTTTTTCTCACAGTTGTATTAGAAAAGGCTTTTAGGAGCTCCCAGCCTTGGCAGGCAGGGATTTCTTCTCTCGGTGCTCAGTGCTTCAGATGTGGGGTTTCATTCACCAGCAGCAGCTGAGGACCTACTGGGGGCCTGGCCCGTTGCTGGGCAAGAGGGTCAAAAGATGAGCAGGAATGGCCCTTGATCTCAGAAGATGGACAACAGAAGTGAGAAAGCTTGAAGGAAGGAACACCTGAACAGGGTTTTGGAGAGAGGGTGAGGAAGAGTCAATGAGGTGAAAACAAGGGTATTCCAGACAGACGGATGGACAGCACAGGCAAAGGCCTCCAGGTATGAGAAGACTTGGAACAAGAGAACAGCTGAATATGTCAGGGCCCAAGGGGAGAGGGTGAAGATGAGATGCACAGAGGGGCAAGGCCAGCTTGAGAAGGGCCCATATCTCAGCCAAGGGGTTTGGACTCATCCTGAAGGCATGGGTGGGGGCGCTGGAGTGGTGTTGTTGAAGATATTTCTGTGTGCGTGTGTGTGTGTGACATGTCCCAGTACCCTAGCAGCAGGGCAGCAACTGAGTTAAAGACTAAAGTTCTTTCAAGTCCTCACTTCTAAACTGAGGGCCCTGGAGACAGTCATGGGCCTCGCCGCAGAACTGTCAGGAGAGGAAAGGAGCCCTGTGGAACACGCAGGGTGAGAACAGGGTTGTTGGATATTTCATTTCAGGTTAAAAAGAAAAACATGGCTAATGAATAGCACTGGGCCTCAACCTAACTTGATCAAACTAATCAATAGCTTTGAGCCTCAGGGTAAATTATTTCCTCAGGGAGGCTTTACTTCCCTGGACCAGGTGAGCTTTCCTTGCCTGATGGTCCCATAGCTCCCTGGACATTGTCTCCTGACAGTCACCCTTGTTCAATGCCCATCTTCCCCTCAGGAAGCTAGGCCCCAGGAGAGCAGGAATTTTTGTCTTTCTTACTCACTGCTCTCTCCCCAGGTACTTGCCTGGTTTCTGGCTCTAGTAGATGCTCAGCAAATAGTTTTTGAATTAAGAACATGAGCCATACTGGCGGTATGATCAGAGGAGGGAGCCAGGGATCACTGTAAATGAAACCTGGAGGCTGGAAGAGTTAGCTAGAGGAGAAAGGGTTTAAATCTAGGCTGTCATGGGCTCTCTGGATATAATTCACTCTGGCATGCCTTTATTTCCTCATTTGTGAGGCGAGGTATATGGACAAAACAATTGCCAGTGTTTCTCCTTCCAATCCTAACATTTTATGCATGAAGAAGTAGTCTTTGCCTGCCACTCCCCTCTCTCCAGGGCTTCTGTGTTTCACAAAGACAGGGCTACTGGCAAACTGAAGAAGAACATCATGACTGTTGCCCAAGAAATTAAAGGAATCTTATAAAGATGCAAGATATTTAAACAGAGAGGCCAGATCTAGATTGTTTGGAATATGTTTTGGGAAAGGAATATTTATTTTTATAGGATGAATTAAACAGAATTCCAATTACTTTTATAGAAAGCAGAATGTTTTTCAGAAAGAGAGAGAGAGCAAAAGAGAGGAGCAGCCCTGCCTCACTGGAGGACAGAGCTGGCGGAGCTGCTGCCAGGACCCTTCCCCCAGCGCCATGCGCACCTTGGAGCCGTGGGGAGGTGCTGAGTGGGAGGACTCCTGAGGCCAAAACCCAGCCAGCAACCAGTAAGCTACTCACCGGAGGTCTCTTCCAGACGAACTGGATGGGGAACTTCTGGCTATAAAAGAGAGAGGTCTCATCCGGTGGGAACTCAGGATCCACATAAAGAACCTTCTTTTCTAGACATTTCTTGTGAAGCTGCTCAAATGTCTTCTCTTTCACTCCGATAATAGGAAAATTGCGGCTGATGATGGCTGAGTAGATGCCACTTGGGTTGGCGCCCCCAGCCTCAGTGGTCTTGCCCTGGGCTGGGTGGGGAACTGGCCCTGGGGACTTGGGCTCGGCCCCTGTCTGCGGGGCCACAGATGGGCTGATGACCGTTGGCATGGCAGGCAAATATGGAAGGAACAGATTTTTAAAGAAAACAAGATACAGCTACCTTCAAGGAAAGGAAGCAACTGCAAAGGGGAAGTTGGGGTGATTCTGTCATCTGAGAGAAAAATGTCCACATCCAATTCAAAGTTTAAAGCCCATCAGAAGGTCGTCCAGCTTGCGTCCGTCTTAAAAACTGAGCTGTGATCCCGAAGCCATACGCTTTCCTGAGGAAGGAGAGCTAAAGGGTTTATGCCCCAGTTTTTACCTGGGGGGCTCCTACCAGCAGCATACATGCCAGAGGGAGAGAAAGAGAGTGAGGCTTGTGTTACAGTGGCCTGAAGAAGCTTGAGCCAGGAAAACTAAAAATAGACCTGAAAAAAGATCATGAGTATGAGAGCAAGAGAGAGGCTAGCCTGCAGCTTGGACTGTGGTCGAGAGAGAAGGACCCGGCTCGGGGCGTTTGCGTGCTGCCGTTAAGTCCTGGTGTTGTCAGGAAACGAAAGAGAAATATTCGAGTAAGTTGAACACTGAAAATTAGCAAAGAACTGCTGATGTGTTATTGAATTGTCTGTTTCACAGACTATCAAATTATTGGACACCAAATTATTGGAAAACTGTTGGGGAAAAAAGCTAACAAGGGTGAGATACTGAATTCTGGGAGAATATTCTAGGCATTTTTGAGGGCATGATTTTTACTTTCTAAAACTCTAGGATATCAGAACATTTCAATTGGAGTTGGTAACTCTTCTAGAATGTTCTGGTGTCAGCGCTGAGTAGAGCTGTCCAGATGGAAAATGCCACTCAGCAGTCCTCAGTTGTCCCTTCTTGCCCACTTGATATAGCCACCTCTTGTCTCTCCCCACCCCCAGAATAAACAAAGTGCATCTGAATACACTTTATCCCGGCATGCCACGTCAGTCACTTGAGTTAGAGTTGGAACTGGATACTGAACCAGGCTGGTGGTCAAGTCCAGGGATGTCATACCGAAAGTTGGTTTCAGGGCTCTGGGGAAGGGCAGTGTCTGCCTGGCCTCTGCCTTGCCTCTGCCCACTGTAGCTGCTACACAGGCTGTAAGGAGATGGCTGCATTCCAAGTGTGGCTGAGTGGATGCTTGTCTCAGACTGCAGCCCTGCCTGTTCCAAGGTTAGAGGCTATGAGAGAAGGTGGGAAGTGACAGCTGAAATAGGGAGTACAACCAGGCTCTTGATCCCTGGGGTTGCAGTTTGGGGAGCCCTGTGCCTGGAGTTGCACCTTGTAGGAACCATTAGCCTATCCTCCTGGACCTCCAAGCAAATGCCCAAAGATCTTTACTGCTACTCTTGGAGAGGCAGATAGAGGAGGGCAGCCTCTGAGGGCTGACTGCTGAGGTTCCCAGTCTGGGCCCGCTGTTCACCGGCTGTGCCTATCTAACGTTAGGTGAGTTACTTCTTCCTTTTTTCCAATGTCTCAGTTTTCTCACCTATAAAGTGTGTATAATGATAGTCATTCTGCTATGCAGTTGTAAAAATTAAGTTAATTTATGTAAAACATTTAATATTGCCAGGATTGTCTTAAGTACTCAATAAATGTTAGATGGCCTGAAGTTAATGTTACTTTAAGGTTAGATCGAGTTGAGTGACAGGCACTCATTGGTGCCAGGCAGCACTCACTCTACGAGCGTGAACATCTTCCACGTGTACAGCACCAGGGTAGGTGCAATCTGCCAGGATCATGTGGTCACAGTGTCTCCAATCAGAGGCTTGTTACCTGCCTGCACTAAAGGAGCCTCTAAAAAGAATGTCTTCCACCCTCTAACTCACCAATGGCATGGAGAGCAGAGGGGGAGTTTTCTTCCCCAGCATCATACGTTTTGAGTCCCAGTTCAGTGCTCTGTCTATCCCACCTTGAGATTCATAGCAGTGACCCACATTTTACTGTTTGTTTCTTGAACTTCCTGTCTGCTTATAAGACTGTAAGCTCTGTGAAGATGGGAACTGTGTCCCTACTCCGCCCTCAGAGTTAAGCTCTTAATAAATACGTGTTGTGCATTTCCTGAATGAACTTTCCCTATGTGAGGAGGACTTACATTTCTCATTGCTTTGCCAATGTAGTGAAAGTTTCTTGGCTGATTTGCCCCTGGGGGGAGAAGCTCTCTCTGGGCCACACACATGTTGATCTTTCTTTGTTCAGCTGTCTAAGCCAGCTCCATCTGTTAGCAACTGAGACGAGGGTGTGACAGAAATGAATTATCACAGCAGGGTGGGAATATCAAACAGAGTGCAAAGTGCTATTCATTCTGCTCTACCCATTACGGTGGATAAAACCCCCTCTCAGATTAGCAGGTCCAAACTCAAGGTTTATTCAGCTACCTGGCTGTAGTGATACATACTATCAGGAAGAAATCCAAACTGAGCCCATGAGCAATGGGTAGAAAATGAGCATATAAATAGCTGCACATTTCAATTCACAGAAGCCTCTTCAAGGATAAAGAACTAGTTTTTTAAGAAAAATCTTTATTGTTGAAAGTATTACAGATGCCCTCTTTTTTAGCCAAGGTCATGCAATATCTGTGGCTGGAATGATTTCTATTGCAGCAACAAGGCCAATTAATGGCTCCATATCACTGTCTTTTCCACCAATAAATATTTCTTTGATTCAACAACTGTTGGAAGCAAATAATAAATATTTCTTTGATTTAACAACTGTTATAACACCTATCATTCAATAAGTGCCTAGGATAAGCTAGCCACATCCCATAGTTTAAAAATTTTTAAATTTTAAAGTAATTTTAGACTTATGAAAGTGTCACAAAGGTAGTAAGTGCATAAAGTTCCTGTATAGCCTTCACCCCAGCTTCCCCTAGTGTTTACACCTTATATAACCATGGTACAGTGATCAAAACCAAGAGGCTAATGTTGGCATAATTCTATTAACTAAACTACAAGACATATGTTGTATTTATTCAGTGCTTCCACTAATTTTTTTTTCTTCCTTCTGTTGCAGTATCCAAATTAGGATCCTGAATTTCAGTTGTCATGTCTCCTTAGTGTCCTTCAATCCCTGACAGTTCCACAGTCTTTCTCTCTCATGACCTTGGCACTTCTGAAGAGTACTTGTCAGTTGTATTGTAGGATGTCCCTTGACTTGATGTTTTTCACATAATTAGACTAAGATTATAGATTTGGGGGAAGAATATCATAGAGGTAGTGTGCCCTTCTCATTAAATCATATCTAGAGGTACATGATATTGATGTGTTTTATTATAGGTGATGTCAGCCTTGACTACTTGGCTAGGGTGGTGTTTATCAGCTTTCTCAAAAGTAAAGTTACTATTTTTTCCTTTCCATATGCATAGGTATTTCTAATCTGTAGGACAACCCTGCAGGTTTCATTAATCCCATTTTACGACTGAGGAAACTTGAGATACCTGCTGTATTTTAGTTAAGTCATGGAAAACTTATTGTTTTAGAGATTATCTCTTTAACAGATGAGGAAACCATGGCCTAGAGATATTAAATGACATGGCAAAGATCACTCAGCTAGTTCACTGCAGAACCAAACTAGACTCCAGGTCTCCCGATTTCCAGTGAAGGGGTAAATACCTAAGACTCCAGTAACATAAATTAGGCATAAGATCTCTGGATCCTTGCATATAAATAGTCAGGGCTTCCCTTCCCCGAGTTCTGACTGGAGAGGAATCTAATACCATCAGCCCTGTTGGAAACAACTGTCAAGAAGCAGCTGCCTCCTTCTGGCTGGCCTTGCTGTGGCACCGCAGTCTTTAGCAAGGCTGGTCATAGGACAGGCAGATCTGATATCAGATGCCAGTGTCCCTTTATTTCTCCTAGAATGCTAGTTATATGGCCTCATTATCTGTTTCCAGTGGAGCTGCTGTTGGCTTTCTATTTCCTGGGCTGAGACATTATTTTAGCCTAGAGTGCCCCTGCTGGAATTATGCAGGATATTCCAAGGGGTTGATATATGGAATCTTAAAAGCAGACTGAAATGCCTGATATTGTCATAGGAATTCCATTACCAAAAAGGCTTTTGGGTAGGCTGGTCAATTATGAGCTAAAAACCATTCAGCTCCAGATATTTATGTGTTTTGACTGTGTTTCTGCTGTTTATCATTATAATACCCTGATACGGAAAGGGATGTGAAAAAGTGAAGGAATTCTGCACACAGACCAAATTCCAGAACTGCAGTCTTCCCTCTGACCAATCAGGCAAAGAAAAATTTAAAAAATATCATTTGTTTGATTATTAATAAGGCTGAGCATCTTTCATGTTTATTTTGTCTGTTTTAATTTCTTTTGCCCATATTTTTATTGGGCAGTTTCTGTTTCTGTTTTGTTTTGTTCTTTTATTCTCATCCTAGGATATATTTTTGTTTGTTTGTTTTTAATTTATTTTAGAGAGAGGAAAGGAGAGAGAAACATCGATGTGAGAGAGAAACATCGATCAGTTGCCTCCCATACACGCCCAGACCAGTTACACCCACAACCTTTTGGTGAACGGGATGATGCTCCAGCCAACCGAGCCACCCAGCCAGGGCAGCCAGTTTCTGCTTTTAAACTGATTTGTCAACTCATTCCTTGGCATTTAAGTCTTGAGGGAAAGACACATGCATTCATTTTAGAGCTTCGTTTGAAGCTCTGTTGAAGTGGTTCTAGTTTCTTACATAAAATCCAATTTCCTGAGAAAACATATCAAGAAGTACAAGGTAACAGAACACCTATAGGCCAGCTCAGCCCCACACAGCTCTCTGGTACATAGCTTCAGAAACAGAAGGTGGGTAAAATGTGAGATGCAATAAAAACAGAAATAATGAAAAACAACCCCAGGCTATATTTCTCTCCACTCAATGTCTCTGGTTAAATGTTTCAGTATAGTTCTGGGTCAAGATAGAGCAGTTTCTCAGTAATTTACTCTAGTAGTTATTGTTTCATTCTTTCCTCCAAAAATATTTAAATGGAAAAATAGATGTGTAATAAATGTTGATCCGAATATAGGTTTTAATTATTTAGCTTTAAATGCTATTAAAATCATCATTTGTATTAGGTAAGAGCACCTAGTTTTCAGGCAAGAGAAATTTGAAACTAAGAAATACAACTTCAGCTGATGTAGGCTTCTTCTTTTCTCCTTAATTGCAAAACTTATAGAAATAAGAGCAAAGAATCTGCATATATCTATGTGAGCTTATATACAGTGCCAAACTCAAATCTCAACTAATGCAATGAAATATGTGCACAAGGAAATGCACAGTGTATATGCCTCTAGAGAGAAGAGTCCCTATGTCAGAAAAGTGAATCAGAAACAAATATACTCAATTCTCACTTTTTAATCAATCAAATCCATCAGTTAACCAGTTATAGTCAATGCTTGCTAAAAGCCAAGTATAATGGTGCTCTGGCAGATATAAGACAAATATAATATGCTCTTGAGGAACATACAGTCTAGCAGGGGAACAAGGCAGACAAACCTGAAACATTACGGGATGATCCCTGAGAATGCTAAGTTAGAGCACGTAATATAACTGGGGCAGGATTTCAGAGGAGGGGAAAATCACTGCTCATGGGTGCAGGGCAACGGGGGTGTTAGGGTAGTTAGAAAGGCTTAATGGCAAAGTAGGATTTGAGTTGGGAGTGGACAGACGGTCAGATGTGCATAGGCAGAGGGGAGGGGTGGATATTGGGGCCCAGGGAACAGAAGGCACAGAGGTGGCAGTTAGCGAATTGCTAAGTGGAGGAAGCCTGAAAAGAAAATGTGCATGTTGAGGAGTGCTGAGGACATGAGGCTGCCCCAGCAGATGCTGTGGCAGGCAGCAGGAGGTCACTGGGGTCTCCAGAGCAGGGAGCATCCTGAGGAACAGGTATGTTGTATATTCTATCCCACACCAAGCTGTACTGGAGCCAGAGGCAAAAGGAAAACTCAGTAATACTGATGCTGTCTGTATTTAAATTTTGTATATTTTGTTAATTATGGATTTTCTGCATTAATTTTGATTTTTAAAAATGTTGCATTTAAATATGGTTTATTTTGGTTACTGTGTTGTTGTTTTTTGTCACACAGTTTTTGTGTGTGTCCAAGGTAAGTGCCTCACTTGCCTTAGTTACCCAGGTCAAAGCCATGTGTTCTATTCATGAAGTTCAGTGGTGAGGACATGGGTATTTATTATTATTATTATTTTAAATATATCTTTATTGATTTCAGAGAGAGGAAAGGGGAAGGAGAGAGGTAGAAATATCAATGATGAGAGAGTCACTGATCAGCTGCCTCCTGCACGCCCCCAAGTGGGGATCAAGCCCACAACCCAGGCATGTACCCTGACCAGGAATCGAACCCCACTTGCCTGGATCCTAGGTTGATGCTCAACCACTGAGTCACGCTCGGCCGGGCTATTTTATTATGATTAATTATAGCTTATTATTAATTATATAATTAATTATTATTAATTATATTGTATCCATGGTACAAATATTCTTTGCTTAGTAGACAGTATTTAATAAAAACAATTAATATAAAGAAATTAGAATTTTAAGAAGATTAATTTGGAACTTTAGAGGCCAAAAAGCACAACAGAAAAAAGAACCTTTGTACTCCTGAATCAATGTCTAGGGAGAAAAACTCCCTGTTGCTGCAGTGTATGCAGTGCAAGCAGAAAAGGATTGTTTTGCCCATGTCTAAGGGGGTGAAAGATAACTGTGGGGGGTGCCAAAGGCTGCTGTTCACTTGGAAATAGGCCTTGAGCAACTCAGCTGCTATAGCCAGAGTGACTTTGCCAGAGGCAACCTTCCACAGATGGGCCACAGTCAGTGGGCATGGCCCACATCTCACATGAAACACACCCACCCTGCCATGCTCAAAGAGAAGCCACTTACTGGCCTGCGGTGCTAACCACAGGGCCACAGCCTAAGAAGCAATGGAAAATAAGAAACTTTATAAATGTTTCAGGGCTCCCTGCATCCAGAAGAGGTGGTGCTTGAGTATTACTAATACATCTAAAGGAGTATTACTAATACATCTAAAAATGTAAAAACTAACATATATCATTCATTAGTAAACTGATGACTAATGGAAGATTTTTTGAGCCAGAGTAGTCAATTAGTACACAGCACAAATCTCAAAAAACGCCAAGGGAAAGGTTGAAGGGTACAGGCCGCTCCCGGTACTCATCACCAGATGCACTTCTCTGTCACTTAATGTGGACCTCCCAGTCAGTTCCAATGTTCAGTGAGAGCTTCTCCAGGCTCAGGGTGGATGTTCTGGCACAATATGTAAAAGCCACAGGCTGATCTTTACTTTCTAAATATCAAGACAATAAAAGGGAACGCTTAATGAACATCTAGGAGAGAAAATTTTTTTCTTTGTATCTGAAATGTTTCTGACTCTGTCATAAAACCTTATACTCTGGAGTATTTTACCTACCATCTTTACCCATGCACTTCCATACATTTTTAAATACAAAACACTCCATTTTTTGTTTGTTTGTTTGTTTTCTGTTTTTTGTTTTTTATATCTTTATTGATTTCAGAGAGAGGAAGGGAGAGGGAGAGAGAGAGAGACATTGATCGGCTGCCTCCTGCACACCCCTCACTGGGGATCAAGCCCACAACCCGGGTGTGTGCCCTGATTGGGAATTGAACTGTGATCTCCTGGATCCTAGGTTGATTTGCAACTGCTGAGCTATGCCCAGCCAGGCACACTCCATTGTTTTGAATGCAAGATTGGAAGGAACAAAGTACTTTGTCCAAGAAATTCAGTAGGTTAGAAAGGATATATCTCATCCTATGTCCTTTAAGAAACTCCATAAACATGAATAGGGCTTCAGGTATCTACAGTTTTTGTTAAAAATATCCAGAGAAGCCACAATATTATTTCAAGCCCAAATTAATTTACCTTAAAAAAAACCATGGACAGCTTACAGTGAGCAGAAAGACCAGTTGATGAAGAGAAGCAGGATGGCCTTGCTCCATCTAGATACTAGCATATTTGGCTTCTACCAGAAAGTGCAGAGTCTACTTGGCTAAGCACATTATGCCAGTTTTAGGGCTAATCATCTCTTCACCTCAGATATGTCTATGTTTATAAAAATAAATGGCTTGTTTCCTTACCAGATGAGTGGGTGGTCACAGAAGATGGCTGCTTCTTGAGACCTAGGATGAAGATCTGCTCCACCACACACTTGCTGGGATAATGACCCCTCTCATCAGCACAACTGAAATAAATATAAATGGCATTAAGAAAAGAAGAGAAAGAGGGGTTAACAGGCCCAACATCCCCAGCCTTGTTGGTTCCCTTCCCATCTTCTCCTATGGAAGCCTGAACCATACAGTTATCATATTTACCAGGATGAAAAGGTGGAAACAGATGACTCTACATGGTGAAGGCTAAGTAACCAGGAGCCAAACTAATCTTTTTTTTTTTAAGATGTCATTTGGAGAGAAATCACTTAAGGACATGGAAGTCACAAATGTGACTTGGACATGGCAATTCAATTGTAAGAAATAAAATACTTAATGAATTTTTGAATGGTTGAATAAATGGGACTAATGGGAACTTCAATTGAATTCTTTTAAAAAAATTCTTTTAGAGCGAGAAGGAAAGAAGAATAGAGACAATAAGGAAGGCAGGTTCATAGAGTGATGGAAAAAATACTCCAGAGGACTCCAGACCAAGACAGTGACATATGAGGTTCCTGAATTTCCCTCTTCCCACAGATGAACCAAATGTAAAGCTACACATGGAGTAATTCACTTTAAGAGAAATCCAGAAACTTGCTGAGTCCTACACATTTGGTGACTGAAAAAATACCCACATCAAAACAGGCAGGAATGGCTGAGACATTCCATAAACCGCCCCCCCCCCCCCC